AAGCCTGTGAAGCAGATATTGAATACCTAACCTAAGATAAAATACCACCTATATACCATGATTGTCTGTTGATCAAACTATTACCCTGGACCATTTCACAGGCTGAATGCTGTCACTCTGTTTGTTTTCAATGTGAAGAAATGTCTGTGTATGAGAAGGGGGAACTCCCTTATAAAATATGGTAGGTATTGCTCGACAGACCGATTGAAAATGACCCTAAAAGGTACACATAAATTAATTCAGGTATCAATGCCAGACCCTAAAAATGTACGACCATTTTTGCTGCTTTAACAAGAGAAAAGCTCAAGTTTAACAAACTTTAGAAAATCAATGTCGATAGATTGTTGATGTTAATAAAATCTCTTTTTTATTAACACTTCTTAACACTTTTTTCCTATTGTTCGAAAATTGACCCCAATAGGTACGGATTCAGCTCAGGACCCTAAAAGGTACGCGAGGGTTTTATTTTGCACCCTAAAAGGTCCGTCAAGCATACCTACCAACTTTTATAAGTGAGTTCCCCCTGCGAATTTTGGGTATAACAGGAAATTGGCTTATACTTTTGGCTTATACATTAGGGTTTATTGGCACTAGTTTGTCAATTGTCCCATAAAGTGATTTTGTATTAAAAAAAGAGCTGGTGCGCAAACTAAAAGACTGATTTTTCATAAGCAGTAATTTGACTGAGATGCATGAAAAATAATTATGTCGGCAAAACTAGATTGAAACATTTAGAACTTCAACTAACATTGATTTAAGAATTTTATATTTGTTAAAGAAGTAATTTTAGCTTTATATTTTTTCAAAGTTTTAGGTGTTCAATGATTTGGCAGTTTAAAGAATGGGTTTTGTGTTATTGTTATGGTGATTAGTTCATAGTTTATCATTTTTGTTTATTGAGTTTAGTTTATTTGTTTATCATTTATTTGTTTACAGTTTTATATTGCGCGCCAGCTTTAGAACCCTGTGAAATTAAAGTCAGTACATACATTAACCTGTGAAAGGAAAGAAATATTGGTTACAGTGAGATTTGAACCCTTACCTTCGTATCCAGTAGTCTGATGTCTTGACCACYAAGCCATCTAGTGAATYGCTGGTTCAAACCGYTCAACATCAAAAGTCATTGTTTGAATTTGCATGAATTATGACTTGCTATAAATTTAACTTTCGATGCCTGACCTGCAACTTCAACTAGATGGCTTAGTGGGTTAGTGGTTGGGCTRTGAATCTGAAGGTTAGCGGTTCAAGTCTCGGTTATAGGTTTCTTTCTTTCTATAAACTAAGATTTCCAAAAT